CGGCTTAACCTTTTAGGTACGGCTGAATTCTGCGCGAGGCTATTTCTCTGGACGGCAGAGTCTGATGTGTACTGTACAGAGTCTAATACTGTATATACAGGGGGTGTCCCAAAAATGTCTCGCAATCCGAAAGTGGCGGGTTCCTGAGACCATTTGAAGCAACTTTCTCCTTTACAAAAATTTTCTCCGAGGCACCGTTAACGAGTTATTAACGAAAAGCAGTGACCAATGAGAGGCGAGCTCAGCTGGCGCGAGGCGATCGAGCCAATGAGCGGAACTGGGCTTCGCGCGCTGGTTGGCTGGGCCGCCTCGCGTCAGCCGTACTCGATTCTTATTGGTCACTGTTTTTCGTTAATAACTCGTTAACGGTGCCTCGGAGAACATTTTTGTAAAGGAAGAAGTTGCTTCAAATGATCCGAGGAACCCGCCATTTCCGGATTGCGAGACATTTTTGGGACACCCTGTAGACTGTTGTAAATCGATGTGAAGACAAAAGAAGTGTGAAACGATGCATATGAAGACGATTATTTGGTTCAAACGATGAGCGAGTGAGCTACTAGAGCAAGCCACTATAGTGGCGCGTCGTGCCTAAAAGGTTAAGGATGTATGCGCGACGCGCAATGGTCGATAACCATTGGGAAAGCGACGAAATTGTTTAACACGTTGAATGCCACGAGGGTCACCGGTGACCGGCACTCTACTTGGCGGTGACGCCAATGGGGGCCACCGGTGACCGGCGCGCCCAAATTGATAGAAATATATATGAGCCGTTTATTTTGAAAGTGGCATTTACCGTAATGAAAAGTGGTGATTTTTTTAATGTTTATACGAAATTATTTATACTGAGAAAAATATCAGTATCCTGAGATAACAAATACAAGTAAATCTTCTCGAAAGTTAACATCCATACTTTTAAACGTGTTAAAACGCAAACCCTTAAATATATCGACTTAAAAACAAAGTGACTTATGCCACTTTCAAAATAAACGGCTCATATAATTTAAAAGAAATGTCAATATCTAAAATTTTGTATTATCATCGTCAATTCAAACTGTGATCCCACAATTAACATGTCAAACATGGTTATACACTGTAACTTATCTAGTGCAGATAATATCACATAAAATAATAATAATAATAACAATAATTTCACATAAAAGAAAATTCATCGTTGCCACGGGCAATTTCTGTAAAACCGGCGTGGCCTTCAACATGTTGAAAAAGTGACTTCGTAAGTTGAAAATAGTTTTAATTAATAAAACAAAAAGCCCTTGATCAGAAAGTAGTTTTATTTCAATTTTCATCTCTCTCTCTCTCTCTCCCTCTCACCCTTAATATCTTCGAACGCAGGCGTAAGTGAGATCATGTGCACAATTACGCGCGTACTCTACGAACACTTAACATCGATTTATTCGAAAAACAGGCTCGTATGAAAATATATGTCACTTCGCATTTATAATATTCGGTTCTTTGGCTTGCACAGAGCATGGGTTCGCGCAACGCAGCATTTTGTTTGGAACCCGGCCACCGGTGTTATACGAGAAACACTTGTCGTTACTATTCTAAAAGTGTCGCGTAACCAACAAACAACAGGGGCAGAGAACACCGGCACGAAAAAATATAAAATCAGCCTTTTATTCGCATAAAATCTCTTCATCGCTACAGAATCTCTTAAAAATACCATTGTACAGGCACGCGTTTCGACAAAAAAAGAAAAACAAAAAAAAACTACAGCGTAAGCGTATCTGCAGTTTCAACATTTCACAACTCCAAATCCGCTGGCGGATCCATATTCATGGAAAGTAAAAGACCCGGCCGCGCAAAATTTGAAAAAATACCATCGTAATGTTAACGCAAACGTAACGGCGCCGTGCTCCCGATGGAACAAACATAACGGATCTCTTTTACAAAGAGCGTTCTTTCTTTATCTAAACGTCGCGTCGAGTTTGCCAAGATTCGACGATTAGAATCGGAGCCAAAAGTAACATTGTAGACGGTTCAAAATTTGATTACAGCCGTACTCGCGGATATCGGATGCAAAATTACAATCGGAGCGTACACATGCGTATCAAAAACAAAACATGAACACACGATTACTCTGTCCGTGCATTTTCATGGAATCAATCACGAGCTGTTCTCGTATTCCGATACGTTCTCGTCAGCTTCGGATTGCAAGACGTTAAACTGTAACACTTATAGGATATCATATACGGTGACAAAACAGATGACATAATTATTTAGTCGGTCGTAGAATTTCAATTGTAGAAAAGTGCTGCGGAACCCGTATGAAAGATTTATATGCCATCTGTTCTGTGAGCTGGTTAATTTTCCCCCATGCGGCTTATTCATCAGAGCTTGGCCAATCAGATTATCACCTGTTGCTGCAGTCCAATTATTTAGCTAATACGAAAATGAAAACCTTGGGAGCGGTATAAAAGTTATGCCACCTTGGGACCCGTCGGAATCACCGACAGTTATTTCATCGAGAATCATCTCAACGACCGTATTCATTCGCCGGCGATCATGTCGCCGAGACGTTTGGATCTCCGACAATTATTTCACCGAGTTTTGCCAACAATGTTTATATCCATGCTGTCGATCTCTGCTGCGTTATGCGTTAAATATGTATCTATTAACACTAGATTTACGGAGCACGAAAAACAGCTGTTTTATATCAGTTCATAAAAGCAACAATAAAACATTTATTTTGATTTTGAACAAGTGTTATTGAAACATTTGCCGTAAGTAACATATAAATTGAATAAATAACTCGTAAACGTATCTTTACGATATGAATAATCGTAAATTAAAACATTGGTGAACCGCCATTTTGACGGGTTCCGTAAATCTAGCGTTAATAACGTTAATAAAATTTATGATAAATTACGTATTTATTTGTTATTAATAATATGAATAAAATAAAATTATAAATACAACAAATGGTTTAAAATATTGTTTGCAGGGCTGTTTTCTTATGAAATAAAAATAACAAGTAAAAATTATCGACGAAATTCGATGTCGATGAAATGATTGTCGATGAATTTAGGTGCGTCGTGAAATGAATATTGACAAAACTTCGCGTCGGTGAAATGATTGCCGGAGATCTAAACGTGTCGGTGAAATGATCATCGATGAAATAATTATCGGTGAAAAGAGAGTAACCCGGATCATTAACAGTTACGACGAATATTTTAAGGATTAGCGAATTTCTGATTTCTCTGATAATGAACGGTGAATTTATTTCAAGAGAATATTTAATTCATTTGTACGTCTAATACGTAGCGAACAAAGTCGACATCCTAAAAATAACATATATCTGATGCTTAAAAAATTGTGATGTTAGTATTCTTTACGCGAGTGAGTGCTTTTTTCCTGTGTATAGTCTTCGATTTCGATCCTTGTGAATGTAATACTGATCGTTGGATAATGTTTTCGATTAAGGTCAGTAGCCGGGATCGAAAGTAACGTAATTCTCATGGCTTATGGACACTCGTCGGTGAAACTCGAAACCGTAGAACACGGGACCAACGACTGAATCACGAACAGTTTGTGCCAGAACAAGTCAAACATTTTCATAAACTCCAGATTAAAAAGATTTAAATGAAGGTAGCACGAACAAACAGTCGACCACCCACAATGTAAATTCTTTACGCCGACCCTTGTGAGCATGAACAAATCAGAGCGGAAGAATTCAAAGTTTGAAGGAAGAAGTTGTAAAAAAACAATAAAACCATGAATAGAAATGAATAAGAAAATTATGAAGTACGTAAGGAGTACTTTTGTCTCGTATGCTACCATTCGTGCAGTTCCTGCAAGCAAATGAAAAATGAATGCTGCGCATTGAGCAGACGAAGAAAGCATTAAACAATATTAGTTATACGGATTAATATTATTAGTCGTGAAACTGACGTAATCTGTAATCAAATAAAAAGAATGTGACTCGTTAAGGAATTTGATTTATATTTACGTAGTTTTTCTTTTTTTATCAAGTCACCGAACGAATGCAATTATGCTAGTTCTCTTCGTTTACAATCCAGTTTAATGAATATATTAATCGATGACGGCACATATATTTGAACGGTTGAAAAATAAGGAAGATGAACAATCTTTGTTTATTATATAAAATCATGTTTTGTCGAAAACAATATGTACATCTTATTACAAGTTATTTAAACGGTATTTAGTAAAAGTTTGAGTTACATATCTAAAAATTATACGACCATTTTCCCGATGTCATGTCACCAAAACACAGACTCCTTTTAATTTCACGTTACCCTTGAAAAAAGGGGGGCACCCGTTGGAGCCAATATCGAAATATTGGATTTTTCAGAGAATAGCAGCTATTTGATTCACCTTTCACCTTTGATTTATTTAACGATATCATTATATAGGGTGTCCCAAAAATGTCTCGCAATCCGAAAATGGGAGGTTCCTGAGGTAATTTGAAGTAAGTTTGTCCTTGGCGAAAATGCGATCCACGGCTTTGTTTGCGAGTTATTAACGAAAAAGAGCGACCAATGAGAGGTGAGATATGGTGGCGCAAGGCGGCCGAGCCAACGAGCGGAACTGTGCTTCGCGCGCTCATTGGCTCGGCCGCTAAGCGCTAGACGAGCTCGCCTCTCATTGGTCAGTGGTTTTCGTTAATAATTCGTAAACGAAGCCACGGGTTGCATTCTCGCTGAGGAAAAAGTTACTTCAAATGATCCCAGGAACTTCTCATTTCCAGTTTGCAAGACATTTTCGGGACACCCTGTATATCCTTAGATGACATAATTGTATCGCATCATTTATTTAATGATAAGAAGAAAAGTGCACGAATCAAAAATTCGCTTCGACTTAAAAGAATCGCCGAAGTTTACCGAGAAACACATCATTTTCGAATGATCGATTTCTCGACTTTGCCAAGGGTATTCACCTCTTAAAAAAATATATTGCGTTACTATCGACCCCACGTCGCGTTACTACCGCCTTGGGGTACAGAACGGTTGTGACACTCTTTCTCCAGTCTTCATTTTTTATTAACAACTTGGATATTACGTGTCATAAAGCGAAACCGTCTTTGCTCAATAATAATCTCAGATAAGGCAGCCGACAATAATAAAGACAGCCACTGTTTAGTGTTCACGTTCTTGCTCCAACGAACAATCAAATAAATAACGATGCCCAAAGTGCACGTAATTCAAGCTACAGTAAATTCTACCAAATTGTTCGTCAGCTTGTAAACAAAAATGGACAATCTGGGAAGAGCAGATACGATTACAGTAAATTCTCTCCAATTGTCGTTCAGCTCCTAAACAAAAATGGACAATTTGGGAAACGGAGATATGATTAATCGCCGATAAAAATGTGCCGCGAGGTTCAAATAATAGTATCTTCTCTTCCCAAAACATTCATTTTTGTTTACAAGCTGAGGGACAATTTGGGAGAATTTACTGAATATCGATGTAGCAAAAAAATTGTAGAGAATGTTAATCCTGATAACTATAATTTCTGTTAATTTTCCTCGCTATAAGCTGGGTGCTCTTTTCTTTGTCTAATATTCTTGATAAAATAATAGGGTAAAGGATGATAATATAAACATCTACTTTCGAAAGTTTACCGGAAGTTTGGGTAACTAATATAAGCACTTTAGAGTCTGTTACTTCTTGAATAAAGATTGTACGATGTTACACATTATCGACATTTACCCTCAACATTAAACAGAAATTAATAAAAAATAATACGAATTACATGGAATTTAGAATTTATTACTTATTTCATTGTTCTCTGAAGCAGGAACGTAATAGTATAACGTTATTTTTATTAACTACTACTTAGTTACATAAAATTTTGGTATGAAAATATTTGTAGTAAACATAACGCAGTGCTGCCTTGAACAATACAGAGTTTAAATGTAGTGGATTTAATAAGGTGGAAATCCACATAGTTCAGAACTCACCTCCTCCCCCTTCAAAACAATCTAAGGTACACTTATGCTCTTGCAAGGGAGGTGAATATGTTTCTGTGTGCGTATACTATACGTGTGTATGTATACATACCTATGTATTATACAGTTACATAATCCACACATATGCATATCTATTGAATTGTACATGCACCATACAGTCGATCACGAGAGTCTTCGAGAATCACAAATATTAAGCCAGAGTTAACGTGAAATTACAGTTTCGCAAATTAAAAAGTAAATTAAGATCTATTTTCAATGGAATTAGTTTATCTTGTACACAAATTATACTAAAGTAAACTGATAAACTTCATCAAAAATGGATTTTAATTGATACTTAATTACAAATTCAATAAAATACGTTCGTTGCCGGCGCACAACGGTGGCATTGGAAAAATTCAATTTTTCAACTTTCTCATTTAGGAAAAATGTTCTTAAGCGAGAGTAAATTAACATAAATTTTAATTATCTTCTTCTCACAATGACGAAGAAAATGATAAAAGTACACAAAATGATACGCTCATTTGCCAAATTGTTGCAATTGGCAATTGCCAGACATTGGCAAACATTTGCTACTTTGCAAAACAAAAAGTAGGGAATAAGTGATAGAACAGTGTATACAGCTTTTAAAATTTCCTTAAATATGTACACTACCACGCAGGTTTCATCATGCATGCGAGTTACTCAGATCTATAAAAAGCAGTCTTCAAATTTTCGCAATAAGCACAGAAAAAGAAGTCGGAAACTGAAATTTTGCAGTTTTGTTTATCGTTCCAATCAATTTCAACTTTCTGCTAAAACTAGTAAAACTTTGGTGAACTGGCTCGTCTAACGTATCCAACAAATTCAAGTTATTTGGATCAATTTTTATAAAATTATTCGATTAACAGATGTTCGAACACTTTACCGTGAATTATTTACTGTGAATACGTGAATAAAGGGTTGTTCAATTCGGTGCCTCATCTTTAAACTCTAATAAAGCAGAGATTATTTTGGATTTGTCTGGTTTCTTCGTTTTAACGCGAGGTATGCTTCATAACATTAATTATGAAAAACAATATCATTCCAGTGTTCATTTTGGGCATTCAAAATTTAATGGACACGTTGAAATAAAAGATTAAAATCTACGAAAATAATCCGAAAACATTTTTATAGACGCTGTGCCAATGCAATCGTGTTTCAGCTATGCGAAAATACAATAAAGAATTAGGTCAGACGTGTCGGGTGATGTTCTAAAATAGAATTTATGTTACAACGAAGATGCAGACAAATCTCAAATAATTCGGGTTATTGAAATTATAAGAATTTCTCTACGAGGAAATGTTTAATAAACCTCTTCGTTGAAACATATATTGTAATCGGACTGCGGATCTTTGTGCAAAATAGAAACTTTCCAAGCAAATTGTACTAAATGTAAGTCAAATAAAAATATATCTGCTTCGTTAACGATTGTAATAAATTGAGAACAATGCAGGAACGTTCTTAAATTTTTCCCACGTCTTTACAGAAGATTAATAAGAGAAGTTTAATAACTTCCCTGGCCATATTTAGAAATAATCAGGATATAAAATCCGCAGTCTAATTATCATAGAAATCGTGCGAAGTTTCAATCAATCGAATTTTCTCATTGCTACGAAACAATGTGCATTAGCAGCGTTGAGGACGCGGTATTTCTAGCATTCAAACTCGAACGACGATCTTGTCGACAAAAATATAACCGAGCACATGTCCAGGACGACTACATCATTTTATTTATAAATTCTACGCGACATATTCTTAAGGTAGCTACTTCTGGACACGTCAGTTTCTCGGTAAACCTTAATGCAAAAAGTGAACTAATTGTCCGAGATCCAACGGTCAGATAATATTAATGCTCCGCGTCCAAATGGACCGGCCATTCGAAAGTTAAAGATGCGACACACGAGTCGAACGACCCTACGATTCTAAAATCGGACGTCGAAATTCTCCGAGAAGTTCGATGCCATCGTAACCGCGTTATCCAAGGTAGCACGGTAGAGTTCCGTTGTAATCGTGGTCCAATATGAGACTGTTACTTTTGACCCCGCGTGTGCCCTAACGAACGCGTCCGCGTTGCATTTCGCGGCAGCCCTCTTACCAATTCGGCTAGGCATCGCATTTGTTCCCCGGGAACCGCATCTTTTGATTGTTCCGCGCTCGCGTCGGCCCGCGGAGCCGCCGAGGAATTACGAAGATTGTGCTTCGGAAACGGACAAAAGTAGAGGAATCGCTTTCAGTCGTCGGGTCTTACCGTCGAGTCGCGAAAATCCCTTCGAGGCCCGCTTTTCACCGCGCTGAAAACCCGGCGGGCCGTGTCTCGCGACGAGTAAATCGCGGGGAACGCCGCGCGATCATATCACGATGAAAAGAATTCGACGGGAAACGGGGAAACATCCCCCGCATCGATCCCCTTTTCTCCGTGCGACGCGTGCGTCGAATTGAAAATGAACGGCCCCCGACAGGGACCAGCGTCGTCGGACGCGACCTTCGGGAATAAAAGTGTATTCGTTATCCTCCGTCGTCGACGTTCCCCGTCCGTGCACGGCCCTCTGCGCCGTTCTGCACGTGCGAGACAAAGGGACCCCGTATCTTTTCTTCCGTGATTCATTCCGCTTCCTCCTGTCGTTGCAGCATCCGTCCGGCTATGACGTTACACGACATCCGACCGATCGAACCGCCGGACGTTACTGACCGGATGTATACCGGCCGACCGTGAACACGTAACACTCGTCGCACACGCGGACAGGCTTCGTCGAGTTCGGCAGCGCTGTGTTGTTGTCGCTGCACGCGTGACAGAAGATCTTACCGCAGTTGCGGCAGTGGTGCTGAAACAGAAATCAACGGGATCATCGTCGTAAGAGCCGACGCGCGCCACCCTTTTCGAGCCTCGACGATCAGTGTCTTTGCGATATTTATCGTTCCAGAATGTCTGCGAGTGGATCTCGGTGGATTCGAAAATGTCGCGAAGACACTGATTTTCTGAGTCGAAAGTGGCCGGTGTGAGTTGGTTCGAAGGGGACCGCGATTGTCCAGAATTGGAGCCTGTTGTACAAGGCCCCGACGACCTTTAACCCTTTCGGTACGAGCGCGTTGTCCGCCGTGACACTCCCACTGTGCCGCGCCGAAAATTCGCATATAACGCAGGGTCAGTCCTCTTTTGTACGAAGATTTTCTTAAGCGTTAAGTAATGACTGTGCTCTTAACCCTTTCCTTACGGCAGCCCGCTCCGCTGGAGTGACGACACTGAACGGGGCACCGCGCCGCTAAGTGTGCACTTTGCGTGTCGGTAGTCTTCGGTGTTCGGACTTACGTCCTTCAACGCCGCTTTGTGACTGTCATAACGATGTATGAGCTACATAACAACTGTCTCATCGTATTATATGAAAAACATGAAAATATTAGTATATTGTATGAATATTAACTCTTTGCACTCGAATGATGACTCCGAGGCACCACTAAAATTTGTTATATCACCTTCCAAGAGAATTTTGACATTAACAAAGTCTAGATTTAAGAAATTATTAAGAGTGTAACTGTTGTGCGAGTCCCAAGAGTTAATTTCATATCCATAAAATGCATTTTGTCATATAAAATATAAATATTACAAGTTGGAAAAATGATTTTATATTTACAGTTAAAATAGCTTCGAGTGCAAAGGATTAAGTTATCTATATATTTAACACGTTCCGTGCCACGTGTACCATCCATGGTACACGCTTGCATGTTTACTTAGTGAACTGAACAAATTGTTTACAAGAAATTTAGAACCGAAGAATCAATTTCCACCGCAAGAATGGGCGTTGATAAGTTTTTGTTACGTTGTTATGTGTACGAGAATTAATAATTGCACGTAATACATCAAGTTTTAGTAAAATATCAAAGTGTGAAGATTCGAGTAAAAAAAGCTCGGCACGGAACGTGTTAATGCATATGAAATTGAGTCTTGCGATGACTTGAGATGACAGTTACACTTTTAATAATTTTTTAAATTTAAACTTCGTTAATATAAAAATTATTTTGAAACGTGAACTAACGATATCAGTGGTGCCTCAGAGTCACCACTCGGGTGCAAAGGGTTAAAATCGCCTAGAACTGGGCCCTGTTGCGTGGAGCCATAACAACCTTGAAAATGATCAAGAATTTTTCCCTGTTATGCAAGGTTGCGTCGCTCAAAGTTGTCTAGAATTGGACATCGTTGTGCAGAAACCTGTCAACCCTAAAAGTTAAAAAAGTGCGTTTTATGAGTGCACGAAAAGAATACTTAAAAAATACTTTGAAAAGTTAAACTCTTTGTGCGTGCAAAAGGTGTCGATAAACTTGTCGTTCTCCTTTTACAATTATTTTTTGGATATTTTATTATTTTCGATATTTATTTATTTTATCGATATATTATTTGGATATTTATATTTATATTTATTATATTGGATATTTATTTTATTTGGATATTTATTATTCCTTGGATATTTAGCTCATGTATTTCTGGAAACTTCTTTAGAAACATTATTATTATTATTATTATTATTATTATTAATTCTCTGTATTTCGACTGAGTGTATAACAATGGAACGACACAGTCAACGTATTACACACTGATGTACACACCGCGATAAAACTATAAAACACTGGCAAACATTGCGAAAAATTCTATGTACTTCAGAAATTTATTTTTCTTTCACCGACAGAGTATTATCGTTTACACTCTAAAAAAGCATGTCGCTCGGTTGTATGAAATGCATAGATCAGCGGCCTTGAGAACTGAGGCAAAAAATGTAAACATGTCACCCGATCCGCGACGAAACTGTAAGACAGTCCCCGGCAAAACTAAACTAAACCGGCGAACTAAACACTGCGAAAAGAGATTTTTGCTTTCAACTGTGTTGTTATTAGGCGTGCAATATTTAAAGTGAATATTGTGTGTGCAATAGTTTTCGATTGTGCAAAATTTCGCACGATAAAAACGGAGATCAACATGATTAACAATTTAAAGAAGGAAAACTATTCAGTGCGAAAAATTGCCCATACATTAGGGAGAAGTCGTTGTATAGTTCGTAACTATTTAAAAAATAGTTGTGAAAAATAGTAACTTGTATTTTTTTCGAAACCCGCTTTTTTCTAATTTTTTATTTGGCGATGTAAACAATGCATTTCGGAGGTCTCTGTAACTTATATGCAGCCTGGAAATTCCATCGAAATCAGTTAACGTTGTTATGAGTTACAAACAATTGAAGATCGCGAAACTCGCAGCTTTTTTAGTCATTGTATAATTAGTCGAGTAGTCGTATAATTAATACTATCCATTATCGCGTTACGATCGCGCATAATCGCGAATGTTGCACACGGATAAATTCCACGGCCGAGTACTAAAGTAGCGAAAGCTTTAAATTCCATTTTCCCAGAAAAATTGAGCTTGTCATGGGAAAGCTTTGTTTTACATTTTCGGCTTACTCTTACCTGCGACGTACACCGCGCGCCGTGTCCCGTTTAACTCGGCTCGTATTTTTTCAAACTTTATCGAAACAGAACTTCCCTCGAAACGCAACGCGAAAAAGTCGGAGAAAAAAATGGCGATCGAATATTTTCGTTATCCGCTGCGAAGTAAATCCGCGGACAAGTGAAACCTCTTACGTTATAATGGTCTTTCCGCGCTGAACATAATGATATGGAAATACCATTAAACCTGATTGAGAATAATAGTGTTAACTACTTTTCAGCCGCATACCGCGGCATCAGCGAAAGTTCCCGCACTGTTGAGGCAGACAGAACGGGGAATAGATTCGGCTTTTGAAACCGAGTTGGATAACTCTGACCTAGATTTTTCTAGACATCCTCCGCAGCCTCCATTTTAAAGAAACACCCCACTTACTTAGGGCAATTTCTTCTCCTATCTCTGCCGAACATGGCTCCGTTCCCTTATCCGTGATCGTGTCATTTCCTCGTACCATTAAAAACTTCCTTATAGCCTTTTCATACGACTTAGATTGCTATTCTTTTCCCTTTTTTAGGGTACGCTAGCATTAGACGAAACATGAGCTAGGAGTGAAAAAGGAGATTTAAATGTTTTTAGGCGCCTTTGTCGAACGTACATAAAGGGCGTCAATCATTTCATAATCTATTTTCAATTATTCTTCCGTGCCATTATTTTACGATACTTTATTTTATAATCTCTAGTGACATTTTAGATCTATTAATAATTTGATATATGTATATATATCAAATTATTAATAGATCTAAAATTTGATATATATATATATCAAATTTTTTAGAAAATAAAAATCTTTAAAGTCATATTATCAAATTATATTATTATATATATATAAAAATCTTTAAAGTCATATTATCAAATTATATTATTATATATATATAAAAATCTTTAAAGTCATATTATCAAATTATATTATTATATATATATAAAAATCTTTAAAGTCATATTATCAAATTATATTATTATATATATATAAAAATCTTTAAAGTCATATTATCAAATTATATTATTATATATATATAAAAATCTTTAAAGTCATATTATCAAATTATATTATTATATATATATAAAAATCTTTAAAGTCATATTATCAAATTATATTATTATATATATATAAAAATCTTTAAAGTCATATTATCAAATTATATTATTATATATATATAAAAATCTTTAAAGTCATATTATCAAATTATATTATTATATATATATAAAAATCTTTAAAGTCATATTATCAAATTATATTATTATATATATATAAAAATCTTTAAAGTCATATTATCAAATTATATTATTATATATATATAAAAATCTTTAAAGTCATATTATCAAATTATATTATTATATATATATAAAAATCTTTAAAGTCATATTATCAAATTATATTATTATATATATATAAAAATCTTTAAAGTCATATTATCAAATTATATTATTATATATATATAAAAATCTTTAAAGTCATATTATCAAATTATATTATTATATATATATAAAAATCTTTAAAGTCATATTATCAAATTATATTATTATATATATATAAAAATCTTTAAAGTCATATTATCAAATTATATTATTATATATATATAAAAATCTTTAAAGTCATATTATCAAATTATATTATTATATATATATAAAAATCTTTAAAGTCATATTATCAAATTATATTTTTATATATATATAAAAATATAATTTGATAATATGACTTTAAAGATTTTTATTTTCTAAAAAATTTGATATATATATATATCAAATTTTTTAGAAAATAAAAATCTTTAAAGTCATATTATCAAATTATATTATTATATATATATAAAAATCTTTAAAGTCATATTATGAAATTATATTATTATTATTATATATATAATAATATAATATTATTATATATATAATAATAATAATATAATTTGATAATATGACTTTAAAGATTTTTATTTTCTAAAATTGAATCGATTAGTATATTAACAAATATATTAAATATATCATTATTTAAAATAATTGACCTTCATATGTCCTCGACAGGTTCGCCTAGAAAAATCTTATTAATATCAAATTAAATGTTCCCAGAAACCATACAAACGTGTGAAACATTTTTTAGTATCATCAACGGCTCCGTAGTCATTTGATTGGATCGATTTAAATGTGTCACCCGGTATATTCGATTGACTAAATTGTAACTCATTGGGGAACATGGTTAGAGGCGATAATGTTCCATACGAGACATACACATACTATCAAAGAAGTAACTATCTTACATATTGTTTTATTTAGATAATTAAGATTAACTGCACCATTAATTCTTTACGAGGTAATCAAGTTTTCATGTATTCCTAGATTGTCGAAACC